AGGGGTTAGGAGTTTAGGGTTTATGGGTTTAGGGTTTAGGTGTTTAGGGGTTTAGGGTTTAGGGGTTTAGGGGTTTAGGGTTTTGTGGCTTTGGGGCTTTGTAGGGTCCCTTTTGGGGTCTTCTTTTTTATAAGGGTGCCGTACTATATTGGGGACCTAAACAGGGACCCTAATTTAGAGAATTACCCTTGAAGTTTAGGGTTTCGTGGCTTTGGGGCTTTGTTCTGCTATGTAGGTCTAGGGTCTAGGGGTCATGATGTGGGTGGTCCAACTTAGGATCTCTTTTTTAGGGCTTCGGGTTTGGGGCTTAGGGCTTAGGGTTTAGGGTTTAGGGCTTAGGGTTTGGGGCTTAGGGCTTAGGGCTTAGGTTTAGGGTTTAGGGTTTAGGGTTTGAAGCTTAGGGCTTAAAGCTTAGGGCTTAGGGTTTAGGGTTTAGGGTTTGGGGTTTGGGGTTTAGGGTTTGGGCTTAGGTTTCGGGTTTAGGGTCTAGGGTTTAGGGCGCCCGGATTATCGGGTGCCGTATTAGAGCAGAATTATGCAAGGCGGGATATTGATTCTGACAGCGACCCAATGTCAGACTAGGTTTATACGTCTCAAAAGAGTTTTATAGGGTGTAACGCAGGGATTTTAGGTGACTTACACGTCAGAACTCGCACGGAACCCCCATCAGCTTCGGGATGAGGTGTCACTGGCATTAACTTTTTCTCAGGTGCCCTAAAGCCTAAACCCTAAACCCTAAACCCTAAACCCTAAACCCTAAACCTGGCATTAACTTTTTCTCAGGTGGCTTTCAGTTTCTCTGAAAGTTGAGCCTTTCAAGGACTCTGAGGTTTGTTGCTGCTTCTAAAATAGTCCGAAAGTTGAACCTTTCATTTGTTTGGGCGTTGGGTACCCAGAGACTCCAACATTCCTTAGTATTAGGGATCCTACTATAATTGAAGGTATATTCGTTAATTAAGGGATATTGGAGTCTCTGGGTAAGTCAGGTGAGGAGTGACAATCAGGATTCCGCGGGTAGCACTTGTGGCCCGGCGGACGGCATATTTACTTTGAGCAGGTCTGTGTACAGCCTGCTGTGCCTGAGCTCGTTAAGATGACAAGTTTAGGGTTTAGGTTTTAGGGTTGAGTTTTTTTTTTTGTGCTCGTGTAATCTTGGTATTCTTCTGATAGTTCAACCCTCTATTTCCTGCGGTATTGGGGGAAGTAAGGCGTTGGATGCTGGTCTACCTCTTCTTCCTGTCCGCTTGGGTCGCCTATTTCATGATCTTCGAAGGACAGTGAGCCAGAAACTAACGCACAATTACAAGAACCCACCAAATCCTCAACCTCTAGCTTCAGAACTCACTCTTTCGGTGTAAAGGCTTCAAGAACCTACATTGCATGCTCGTGGTTACAGCTGGTGCCTCAAGGTATACATCACGCACCAAACCCTAAACCCCAAGCCCTGAGCCTCCTGGCCGGGGGGCCTCCAAGCAAAAGGATGAACTCTCCCGAGTTTCATGGGGTTTGCCCGTGGTAACGCTGGCGAATCGGAAGGAGAGCGCCCTGATCCTAAAAAGGGGGGTGCCGGGGAAAAACTTAAAACTTCAAACGCTGCGAAACCCGAAAAAAGCACCCTCGCAGACAAACCCTGGCCAAGCATGCAGGCACGCCTAATGTTAAGAACCCGAAACCCCAAACCCCAGAACCCCACAGCCCTCGACCCTAAACCCTAAACCCTAAAACCTAAACCCTAAACCCTAAACCGTGATCTCTAGAGCCTTAAACCCTAGAGACTCAACTTGGAGAAACCTGGAACCCTAGAGAATTACCCATATAGTACCCATACAGTACCCATACAGTACCCATAGGGTTTAGGGTTTAGGGTTTAGGTTAGTACCCTTATAGTACCCTTATAGTACCCCTCGTAGAAGTCTTATAGAAACCCTTCAGAGCTCCAAAGGCTAGACGCCGAACTTCAAGAAGCCCTGCTGTCTGGTGCTTAGTAGGGAATGGGGGAATGGATCCCTATGATAGTCCCTTAAGGTCCCCTACAGTAGTCCCTATAACCCATTTCTCCATTCCCTACTAAGCACCAGACAGCCGGAGGATGCTCCTGTTCCTATGGAGCGACCCGCATTGATGGCTGCGAAGACGGGCAGCGCTGCGCGGCCACGGGAGGCGTTCAACTCAGCGTCCTCAGTGCATCTGGGCCTTGATTTCGGGTCCAGGGTTTAGGGTTTAGGGTCTAGGGTTTAGGGCTTAGGATTTGGGGTTTAGGGCTTCTTCGGGAGCTGAGTTCAAACTTCGAAGTGATGGGGACCTATGGCACATAACGACCTCGAAACCCTAAACGCCAGACCCTCGGCCCTAAAACTTAAACCTTCTCACGCAACACAACTTCAAGAGCCCACCCGGAGCCCAAAACCCCAAACCCTGAGCCCTAAACCCTACACCCTAAACCCTAAACCCTAAACCCTAACCCCGAAATCCTAAACCCTAAACCCTCAGCGAACGAGAAGCCCGACGCCCAAAAGGTTTCAAGAGCCCAGGCATCTTACATGGGTGTCATCACCTTCTCCACCGTCGGCTTCGGCGATTTCAGCCCCAAGTCCCGGAAGGGAAGGCGCCTCTTTAGGGGTTTAGGGGCTTAGGGCTTTGGGGCTTAGGGGTTTGGGGTTTGGGGTTTAGGAAGTTCAGGGTTTAGGGTTTTGGGGTTTAGGAAGTTTAAACCCCTAACCCGCTAAACCCCAAACTCTTAACCAAAGGCCTTTGAACCATCACCCCAAAACCCCTCAACCCTAAACCCCAAACCCTTAACCCGAAGCCTCTAGTCCCCGAAACCCCTAAACCCTAAACCGATATGATGTGGGGTGCTGCTACTTTCTCGGAACCCGAAGGCTCCAACAGACCTTCATAAAGGAGGAGGGTAGGGTTTAGGGTTTAGGGTTTAGGGTTTCGGGTTTAGGGTTTAGGGTTTAGGGTTTCGGGTTTAGGGTTGACCTCAAGTTTGTAGGGGGATTTTCGCAGTGTGACCTCGATTTGGGGGGTTTCGGGCTCTCTTGGAAGGATGTTTATACCAGGGTTGTACATTCATGAATAGAGTGGAGAGAGACCCTTCATGTGACTTCAAAGCCCTAAGTCCTATCAATAGTGGGGTTTGGGGCTCTCCCTGAACCCTAAACCCTAAACCCGAAACTCTAAACCCTAAACCCTAAGCCCTAAACCGGATTTCAAAGCCCTAAGTCCTATCAATAATGGGGTTTGGGGCTCTCTGGGAAGGATCTTTGGCTCGATCTGCATGATCCTTGGCATAATGGCCTTCGGCAAGGTGGTCACTCATGACGCGCGGCTGCACTGCTCTTGTGTCCTTCGGTTGAGGGTGTTAGAGTTTCAGGTTTCGGGGCTTAGAGTTTAGGGTCTGGAGTTGCTCGGGTTTAGGGTTTAGTGCGCTCTTACAAACCCAATGCCATGCCCCTACGTTCAGGAGTGTACCTGGCATGTATAGAGAGGCCCTTGATTGAGATATCTATGTTGCTTAGCAGCTGACGAAGGATATTGAGCTCTCTGGGTCGCAATGACTCGGTCGCCCGCAGTCAGAACGACCCGAATTGGGACAGCCTCCCCGCAACAACCATTTTGGGCCAGTGATGCCGTGACCTTTCCTGCGTTTCTTGCCTGGGTTTCTTGCCTGGGTTTCGGGCCTTTAGGGCATTTAGGATTTGTGGTTTCGGGTTGAGGGTGCCTGTCGCGTGCCCAAGGTGTCGACTATATTGCAGGAGTGGAGGATGTACCATAAAAATAGCACCGTGGCTCAATTCGTGACAGCTTCCTTCACTGCTTGTGTCGATATTCCTTCGCCGAGAGCCCAAAACCGTTTTGCCTAAGGAATACACGTTAACGTCTCCAGGGTTTACGTGGCTCATGGTCTAGTAGGTATGGTATACTTCTCGGTTGACAACCCACAAAACCATAAATTTTTCGGGTGTAGGGTAAGTTCTAAACCCTCAATCGTGTATCGTCTCATGAGCTACTGCGGTAGGACGAAAGTTCGTCACACTCTGTATGTCGCTCTTGAACACGGTGCAATCCCCTTTTCCGCTTAGACTCCCGCACCCAGTCCTCCGTCCGGAACATTATAGTAGTATAACGTGACTCCAGGGGTTTATTCCTCCGCTAGCCAGGCCACGTAAAATGCACTTGTAAGTACTCCGCGTCCTCTGCAAGATGGTGTAGGCAAGTGCGACGAAACGTTATTGTTATTTTTATTAACACTATTATTATTGCTATTATCAAGGGCTGAAAGGAGCTGCTCGTAATTTTTAATGCCCTTAACTCCAAAACTCCTAGACCTTATATTTTCAAGCCGAAGCCTTGAGCTTGCTATACCTTGAGGCCTAAACCCCAAATCAACTTTCAACCGTAAATCGCTTTCACCTTATGCCTTCTGTCAGGAGTCCTGGTTTCTCGGAGGGTTTTCGAGAGGATGGACAGCCTCCCGCAGGCAAAAAGCATGTCCTTTGGGTAGGAGGGTCTGGGTAAACCCTAAACCCTAAACCCTAAACCCTGAACCCTGGTTTCAGCTTGTCGGGCTCCGGGTTTTGGCGACGAGTTTTTTTCAGTTCCTGGTCCCGGTAACAACCCTCGGTACATGCATCAGCTGACTACACGTTTGCATATGCTTAGGACAATGCCCACGTTGTTCGAAGACTCCGAGTGTCAAAGAGGCCCAGAGCCCTTAAACCCTAAACCCTGAACCCTGAACCCTGAACCCTAAACCCTAAACCCTAAACCCTAAACCCTAAACTCCGAGCTTTGAACTTCAGCAGAACCTCTCAACCCAAGCTCCTATGAGTGTTTAGGGTTTGGGGATTAAGATTTAGGGCCATTTAGGGTTTAGGGACCCCTGGGCCCAACGGAGCCTCCGTGGGGTGACAGTGCCATCCC